GTCAACTTGACCTTTCCAGGCTCTGAGGAAGGCGAAATCCGCCGAAACGTCAGCTTGTACGTAAATGAAAAAATAAAGTAACACCTCGTGTTTGCTGAACAGAAGTGGAAAGAATTATTCAATCAATGCCGAGGTTAATAGAAAGTCGGACTTGGGAGTTACTAAGCACTTTCTCCAGAGTACTCAAGACAATGACCAATGCGCACCGTATCTAGGTCTACTCCCTTTACATAATAAAAATAGCTTCTAAAACAAGTTTTTTTGAGTCACATTTTTACCAAATCGGCTATAAAAATGTGGAAGAAGAGTTGGAAATGTGTTCTTTTTCCAAACATGTAGTTTCCTCACTGATAAATGCCCACTTTGAAGATGCACAGATCTTCTGCACACTATAATTCAGTTTATTGAAGTCTCTTCGGTGATGTTTCATCTTTTCGTGACGATACAGTTCCTCTAACTTCTAAACTTTACTGGGTACCGATAGATACGTTGTGAAAGTCAAGCAAGGGGCTAACTCATTCGAAAGAATAACCATGATAGCGCGGTGAGAACGCCTATTCATGGACCAGCATCAGTATAAAATCCGTATTCAACGTCCTATCGACTGACCACAAAAAACTTTGGTAGAAATGCTTTGAGTTGCCAAATACGCCAGAAAACAGCGCGCACATTACTGTCTAGGTGTACGGTCCGAACCGTACGACAGCGTACATATCGAAATGAATGCGCAAGGTCGTGAAACGGTTAATCAGCTAACACAAAAAGTTGTTGAGACGGTAAATACAACGTCGTACCTCACGATTTTCGAAAATTTCCCATAACTCGGGATGGAGTTTCCCACTGTGGACTATGTCGGCATAGTCCTCACTAACTATGAGAAAACCGAAGTAGTGCTCGTTGTCAACGTACATGAAGTGGCCCTACGAAACACCTTAATTTACGTCGAAACTGCGTGAAAATAACAATGATCTTACTCACTTTATCTCTAGCCCATTTGCAAAAAGACATGTCGACGTCGAGGGTTTTGTCGTAGAAATACGGTGTCTTCATTTCTCTCATCTTCTCTTTGTTGATTAGAACGGCAGACGTCACAAAAGGGACCTAGAAGGAATAGAATTCCGATGGCACAGAAATGGTATGTGGATTTAGTTACCCACATTCCACACGCCAATTCGCTTTCGCTGTACGATCGCCACGTAGTCCTCACTTCTGGCGTAGTATCCATTTGAAGAAAGAGCACCCCAGAAATTCGTGAACATTTTCTTCGGTTGTGCTATCATAGGCGCCACGATCCCTCTGAAATTCATGTTTAAGTGAATAACTGCTACAACTTATTTGTTTTAATAACCCATTTCCACACATTGTGTTAACCTTAGGTTTTCTTTTATTCGATGTGTTCTCTTGCATCTGCTACCAGCTAAGATTTGCAGTTCTTATCTATGAGTTCAGCCGTTACCTACAGGTTTTGTCCTCTCCAATAATACCGTCAAATTCTGGTGATTCTCCTAAGAGTCTTAAGATAGCTTTGCAAAAGCCGTCCCAAAGCTTCATCAAGCGCAATCGCTGTTCATTTTGTATAAAAAAGATAAAGCTCTCGACGTTGATCAACCTCTGAAGGATGCGCCATGCATTCGACTTCGTTAAGCATCGTTTGGAATTGATTGAATGCAAATCGACCTTTACAATGGCTCGCGGTGGTCTAATGATGTGTCGAGCCAGTGCTGCTATCCTCCTAGACAAGTCTCGTACCAATTTGCCGACTGCGGAGTGATGGAAGGCTTGGTGGGCCAAGGACGCCGGGATCGATTCCACGTGTGTTGCAGGATGCCACCGACCACTGCGTCAGACGCGTCCATCATTGTGGATAATAGGGGTTTTATCCAGACAAGATTGTTACCAATTTTCCAAACCTCGATGGATAGGCTTGGCTGGTCTGAGGTGGGGTCAGCCAAGCCATACGGGTCGCGGTGTTTTGCGCGCATCTCTGACTACAGCGGCTATCTCATTGTTATTATATTGCATACTTGAACTAATTCTTACTATTCCAAGGGTAACGTTTGGAAAGTAGCACACGTAGATTGCCTTTTAAAGAAGATAGTGGAACATGTGCTGACAATCCACTCTATGGATTCCGTTACAAAAATTATATTGGAATTCTAGCTCCACTTGTAATTGCGTTGAGCAGTCAGCAACGTTATTTGACGCGAGAATACTTCATTCGAATAACAAAGCAAATGGTGTGTACAAAACGAAAAGCTATATATTTCCCTCTAAATTGCGTGCCTATAGAAGCTTGTTTTTTATGGTTCCCGCCCTCCTATGGCGATCCGTTACTCCTGTATATCAAAGTGTAATTTCAAGACAAGGTTCGCCTCCTCGTAGGACCATCTAAACCTCATATGCAGAAGCTCAGTTACAATAAACCTATTTCGACATAGACACTTTCTTGGAACGATCCTAGTCACGAATTAACAGTTATCCCTTTAGATCTGCAAAAATCGGCAGCTCTTTGTTATGGGACCTGACTAATGTGGCCCAGTATGGCTTTCACAGTGTTCCAGAGAAAAACCTTGTCTTACCAACATCATACCAGTCACGGTCTGCACAATTCTCCGTGTAGATGGGTCATTCGATTTCAAAATTTCAAATAGAAAGGTCGCTGTCCGTCGCAGTTGAGTATCCTGCTGACAAGACAAGTGTGGCGCAATTGTTAGAGACACTCTGTAATACATACGGGATCGATCAGGAGCCCTAGGCTCACCAAACCTTCCATCCCTCCAAAGTCGACAAATTGGTGTCAGACTTGTTTTTGAGGATAGCAACACTGACACGCATCGGTAGGCCACTGCGAATCGTCGTATGAGTGAGATATGCCTTTAATCATTTCAAACTGTGCTCAGTGAAGTCGAATGCATGGCGTATCCGTCAGGGATTGACAAACACTTAGAGTTTTACCCATTTTTACTACCCTGTTGACTGAAGCTATTTCTTTTTAAAGTTAACTAAACAATAGAAAATCGGATCGTTGTGCATCCACAATAAAGTCGCCCACGACCATTTTTGAACGCGCATCTATTTCACAGAGCCACACCACATACATTGTGCGGATCCCAGAAGTTCTTGATTCTTTGATTTGCTTTCTGGCATCCATGTTCCAAAAAGATTTTTGGAGTACCACTTCTGTACTTAGATGTAGATTGAAAATTTTGACCATTCTTTAATAATGTCAACGAATGCTATTCGAGTCCATCCTCTCTTTGGAATCCTGTGAGAATCCATGCTCACTTGTAATTCTGTGATAGCTGTGCTAGTACGTTCCCAGATTTTCTTCACAAGCGGTTGCCGTCTTTTGCGGATTGGAAGAAGCAAACTTATCCTGGGAGACTCTGGTATCAATTTCTCGAGCCTGAAGGAGTCTGATTGGTAAGGGAGTAGGTAGAACCAGGGCACTGCTCGAACCGAACGACATCACTATCACTGAGATACCCACACCCTATCCTTCATTTTAATGAATTGAGTCCAGCTTATGAAAATGATACTCACATTTCATAGTTGACTGAGTATTCTATTAAATGCTGAAGTGTCTTCTCACTGGTTAAAACGGCGTCGCCGTCAACTGAGAACATGAAACTCGCATCGAAACGGGAAGCAAATGTTCTGAAATGTGCTGCTTCTCAATCATTCATGCTTAGCAGTTATTTAAAGACAATGAAACCAAAAAACAACAAAAATTCTATAGTGCACTATTTTCCCCCCTTTTATTGCTAAACCATGACGCTACTGTATTGACTACTGCCTATACATAAGAACCATTGCAATAGGCGCGCTAGAAAGGCTACATGAAGTTTATATATATATATATCTTTAAACGAGTCCAAGCAGAAAAAAGTTGTGATACTGTAGGTTTAGATCAAATACAACGTTTATTAAGCTCAGAAGCCATACAACCGCAGAAGCTACTGTTGGAAAGAATTTTGTTCAAGTCTCGTTAACAAAGAAAAGCGTAAGAAAAAAAACCTACAACGCTTCCTGTCTCGCTTCTCTTTCATCGATTTCCAAAACACCATTTATGATTTTCTTCGAGAAGTACAGTGTTCCATATTCGGAAAGGAAGTCCATCACCTGGAACTTTAACTTCCTTTTAGCTTTGTTTCAACACTTTCTTTCAAATCTTTTGAACATTAGGAGCGTACCCTTTTGTTCGGATTTTCGAAAAAGAAAATAAATTTATAAAATTCACCGTCTTTATATTGGACCGCTGCGAATTGTAAATGAATAATACCAACTTCTTTTTGGGGTAGTCCATCCGTGCCAATGCCTCGAGCATCTGTAAAACACATGTACGGTAAAACGCTTCATCAGGAAGTATTAGTTCTCATTTTCAGCAGTTCCTAGAAGAGCTTTAAGAATCTTTCTCGATTCTTCATCTACTGAAAAGTTCACAGCGACAGATTACAACTTCTACAAAGTAATAACAATTTTCATGAAATTTTTTCTTCAAGAACTTTCTGTCGAATTTCTCATTTCTTCGATATAATCAAAACCTTGAATTTGAATCGACTTGACCGAATAATATCGTGAAGTGCTAGAAGGAAGTAAATTAGGATGGAAGAGATGAAATGCAGAATGGCTGAACCTTCACATAACAGAAAGGATTCACATCACTTAAAACATTAGAACAAACCTCTTTTACGAATGGTATCGGTTTGGCGATAAATATCGATAGCGCCACCAATGGGAAGTCGGCTGGATCGGTGTCCTAAAAGCTGAGAAATGGGCGAGCGACGATGAGGATGAGACTATCGAGAGAACATCCATCAAGATGGAAACATCTCTAAGAAACGTGATCAGTAACACATTCGCGACAACGCGACCTCTGAACGATTCACTTGTAAGTGGATACGGGGCCAACATAACCTCGGCGGTCGTTTTATTTTTGATAGTTTATTTTTAGTTTACCTTCAGTGGCGAAAAAGCAGAGGCGCTTCAACACGCTCACCTCCACATTGGATAAAGAACTCAGCCAATTTAATTACCATTTAACATTTCATTGAGGAGAGAAGATAAAAGGATATCAAGTAATATCTGAACTTGGCTAGGAGGTGTTCCTGGGTGTCGGACTGCGATTTACAACGAGGGAATTCGTCCCCTCGGCAGGGTTTCCTAAGCTGGGAGTAAACCAATACCAGGATCCACCACCATCCTGGTATCAAAGTCGCATGGTGGCAAATCTCCTTCTGATCCACAACGGCTGCGACTGCTCGTGGTGATGAAGACCTTGGGTAGACTTTGGCCAGGCTGACCTCGGGATTCCAAGGAATCACAATGGCTTAACCAGCAAATCTCCGAAAAATAGTGATTATGCTGGGGCCCGCACAACCAGTGAGGACGGGCCGTTTAAGTGTTAAGTGTCAAGTTTATTTCCAAGGAAAAAACGCTAGCGTCGATTGATAGTAATTCGACTGGTAATTGACTGCTATTTTAGTTTTAGTCACAATAATAGATGATAGTTACAGCATAGAATGGAAAGTATAGGAAAAAAAAGTAGAAATTTACTCAACATAAGCTGCACGACATTTCGAACATTCAGTAAACAATGGCATACATACCATTCGTACCCATAAAGCGGTGAAGCGAAGTCTCTTCTATAACGCTGTCATGTTCTCAAACTCTCACTGTTGCCGAAAAACCAGCAATTCCGTAATGACATAAAATATGGCTTCGTCCCACTCGACATTTACGCAAAATAAGAGTATCCGAGTGGTTAATAAAGCAGTCCATCAAAAACCAAAACGCCGATTCGACTCCCTCCCTAACGCTCTTCCACGGTCCACATGGGAAGGCCTAAGGTCGGTTATCTCCAATATTGAAGGAAGAATCGACTCGACCAGCATTCTACGACATTCATAAGCAAGACGAAATCCTCAAGTAGCAGCCGAAACAACATGTGAAGTATATGACGACTTTCGTCGACGATGAATACCAGGAAAATTAATCGAATGCAAGAAGTGGTGGGACCCGCACAGTAAATGAGAAGATTGATCATGTAGTAGTGGGAGAAAAAATTGTACAAACACAGAAACAAACACTAATTTTCAACAATGACTCCTTGTATTCGGCTTACAGTTTATAATAACAAGGATGGTGAGATGCGAACAGAACCTGGAAGCTCAAATGGACTTGGAGCCTGCGATGAACCTAACCGAGGACGAACTTACTATCCACCACTCCATTCGAGACCCTTGATTTGCCTGTCTCTTAGCTGTTTCTACTCTGTTAGAACTATTAGCAATCATCCGTCAACAGGAATGAGAGAAAGCAGGATTCCATTCTCATTTTGTCATTACCGCTAACGGGTGATTGCTGATAGGACTGATAGAGTGAAGGCATTACTGAAGGAAAGGCAAAGCAAGGCCACCAGTTTGTGTGGTGGACAGCATGAGAGCCCTTGGTAAGGACAACCGTGGGTTCAAAACTCACTTGAAATTCCCAGCCTTCTTCGCATCTAAGCACCCTTATGGTTGAGCTTTATATCATATCCTGACATAAAAAGAACAATAAGCAGTTAATAAAAAATTAACATTCTGGTTCATAGTCAGATTCTACACTAAAGAGATACCACTAAGGTAAAATATTCTTGACGAGACACAAATCGTCTAATCCACATTTGAAACACCTTACTACTTTACAGTTTTCTGCGGTAATCCATCACCTTCATGTCGAGGTTCACTTTCGTCTCACAGATGGCGCATCCGCTCTTAGATGACCAGCTTCTGGAGACGTAGTTGGCCAGGTAGTTAAGATGCATTTTGCTCGGACCATTACCATGAAGAATCGCTGGATGTGTGTTGTAGGCGGCATTGTAGGCCTTGAATTACTCTTGACTGATTCCCAATTTTTACACTTTTGATCGATAAATGACTTTAAATAAGCAGCTAAATGACTACGGAAATCAATTGAACTAATCAGACAAAAATCCTAGACGTCCGTTCGAATAAAGGAAATATTCCCAAAAAATCTGCTAGATGAAGTTGAATGGAAGCGGAAGAAATTCGTCTCACTAGGGCATTTCCTTCATCGTCAAATTGCAACTCAACATCATCGACGACACCGTTAAGATTTTGGAAGATTCGAGCTATTGAATCGAGGCCAATTTTGAGATCATCCTGAAATCCTCCTTATTTATGGAATGAGATCGTTAATGTTCCAGATGAAAATTTTGAAGTGGACGTTTTAAATGAAACGAACTGATTCTTTACATAACGCTCTAATTGCGAAAATATAGCAATAAGTGTGTAGAGAAAACTAATTAAACGTTTCATTTCCATCTTCTTATCGACAGCTTTTCTTTCCTAAAGCAACTCACTCGTAGTTTTTTTTCCAAATAAATCATTGTGTAGTACAGTTGGTCGTCGTCATTATCGGCAACATCTCGCAGAGTGACCATCGTGTAAACTTCTTTCGCATAGCCAAGAAATAGCCCTGAGTTGAGAAATCTGAACGATTCATCTCAGAACAAAGTGCTGTGTCCTACAGTCTTTTTTGTTTTCCGAGATGTCTTCTTTGTCCCTCATTAATCAATTCATTCTTTTTCTGTGGCTGCGTGACCACAAGGTACCTCATTTGTTATAATCGTCAATGGATTTTACCACACAGTAACCTTGAAGAAGAGGCAATCGGTGGATAAATCACTCTTTTGCCTTACGAATACATGATTGCTGCTACGAATTCAGCGCATTTGTGGTAGGAAAAGATCTTAATGGTTTTTTATCAGAATGGAATCTGTAGTATGTATAGACACGTATCGGGATTACCATACTGCGCTAATTGGTCTTTTTGTTGAGTAAGAAAATCTATTGTTCATGACCTACAACGTTGAATTACCTTTTTCCAAATTCCACTACGGGATAGTCCGGTGCTAGCGATTCATTTGGCCAGCAATACGGTTCAGCGCCGAACAATATGCGTTTGTCGCCGAAGTGATCGTGAAATCGTCCCAGAATTGTGCTGAGACCAGCAGTAAACACCACATCGTAACTGAAAGAGCGTCGATGTCCTTCAGGCTTCAGGATTCTAGTACAAAGGAAGAAATTGGCTGCAATAAATTTATGACTAAGAGGAGAACATTGCAAACTTGGTCAATCGACTGGACCTGAATCAGACCAAGCTGACAACGGTAACTTAAGGAAAGGGAAAGAAAGAGACTTAAGAAAAGTCGAACTATAATGTATTGCATTAAAGACACTTTCAAATTTTATTGAGTTCTGATATATAAAATGAAAAATTAAACGGACTCACGCGTCTATGAACAAAATCAACACGTCGTCATCAGGTTTTTGCTGCTTCAGCCACTCTCGTAGGATCCGGATCTTCTGACCACCACCCTAAAATTTCACTATTTTGCAGAGAGAATTAGATGACAACGCAGTATTGCCGTGAATACGCTCCTACCCGTTCAATTCTCGTATCGCCTCCATTCCAATCTTCTCCCATTCCCAGCACGTGGATGTTAATGTCAAACTTTTCAGCAGACTTGTGAAGTCGCCGAAGGCCATCGGTGTCTTCTGTGGCCACCGTAACAACCATCACTTCTTGTTTCTCACTGCTTGAAATGATCCTGGACAATGCGAATGTGGCCAGAAGAAACAGCATCTTAATAAGGTTTCATAAGAATCGTTACTAGATACATCACCACCACTTTCTCTTAAAACAACAGCGACTTTGAAGACCAATAAATACTTATATTAACGGAATAAATAATAATAACAACAATAGGAGAAGGACTTGTAAAAGGTAAAAGATAAAGCGCCCAGCGCCCAGCGCCAAGCAATTTGTCAGACGAGTCATACATGCATTCCACTAGCATAAAATCAACTATTAGATGCATATTTGCTTCATACAATGGCTTACTGAGTCTACCGCATTTTTCGGCTTTCCATATAAATCTAGTAGCAATTTACCGACACCGGAAGGATGACGAGCTTCGTTGGCCCGGGTGCGCGATCGAACCAAAAACTATTTTTGTATAGCAGGGCACTTCTAACCATTGCGAAACCTACGCCCATTCTGTATTCTATACCAGTATGGACAGTTATAAGTTAATAAAATCCAGAGCAACAGGAGGCATGCAGCGCACTGATAACTGTGAACAAATACTCTGTGATTTCCGTGAGGTTAATGGCCATTTTACTTTAATCCATTGGAGACAAACATCCTATTGTGTAAAACTGGACCAGAAAATTTTCAGCACATCTTATCCTCATAGATATAGCTGCTACTAAACTGTCGACCTCGGAGGGTGAGCGCACTTGGTCAGCTCTGGAAATGGGGGCGAATCAAGTACCGTGTGTGCATCCTAGTTCTACTAGTCACTGCGCTAAACGCCCTCATAAGAACGTGACGCGTCCTTGATACTACTTGGATACTTCAGTGGCCCATCTTCACTCGTTATACCGGCTCCAGCATTATTTCCATTTTTTCGGATTTTTGCTACCTTAGCCATTGTGGTTCTCTGGAGTCCCGAGGTCAGCCTAGCGAAAGTCTGCCACACGTGTTACCATCACAGGCAGTCGTCGCTTTTGTGGATCAGAGGTAGATTTGCCAGCATGTGTCTAGTGTGAAACCAGGACGGTGGCGGTTCCTGGTATTGGTTTACTCTTACCTGGGCTTGCTAATGGAAACGCTGGATGGAAATGGACCTTAGGAAAGCCTGCTGGAGAAGATGAATCCCCCCGCTGTGCCCGCTGTACTTCGATGCCCAGGAACACCTCCCAGGCATTATGAAACAATAAACCGTTGACAGGGTAGTCATTGATATAATCATCAAATAAATGTTTCCACAACGTTTCACAAGATTTCGAGTTTAACACAGGAAAACTTCACTACAAAAAAAAATTTAAAAGGAATACGATGCAATAACGAGACCTATGGCACCACTTCCGCCACTTCGAATTCCATGCAAGCATTACTCATGGTTTGTTATTACCACAACGAATAAAAAGAACACCTGTTAACAATTGATTCCGAACTTAAGGAAATACGAAAATCAAACTCGAATAAAGAATTTAATACGAGTGGTGTTAGGTTGATATAAAAAAAACACAAACACTGAAAAAAACCATTAAAGCGTTTTCTAGTGATGTGGGTGGAGTTAAGAGAAAACGGAAAAGAAAAATAAATTCAGTATTATTACCACAAGCAAAAGCGAGGCAAATTGTTCTCTTTTACAGCACCACTTTGCTCTTTTCACTTCCTTAAGACGTGTACATTTTAGTTTAGTCATCACTTAACACGGTAACCTTCGTTTATTTTACTTCCTTAGTAAAGGAGTTGAAAAAATTTAGTTAGAAAAAGACGCTCTTATAAGGAAAGTAGAATCCTAAATTCAGCACCGCTTCATTAATCATTAATGGGACCACGCTCAAACAGCACAAATATTTGCGCCCCACTTTTTATTCTAACGCTAAGGAGCTAACTTCATTGTTCGAGAGTTCAAAGGTAGTGCAGGTCTGGCTCACCACGCCGGCTCACCAATCCTTGCATTCTAAGCAGTCGGAGAACTTTGTAGAAGCGTTTTCTAGGAACAGTTGACCTTTTGCAACCCAAATGGAAACACTTTAGCACGGTTATTCTATGATTCTAGGAAGAATCGACTCGACCGGCATTCAAAAACACTCATGAGGAAGATTACAATCCTCAAGCAGCAGTTGAATCCACACGCGAAGGGTTCAAAGACTTCCGTCGGTGAGCGATAGAAGGAAATGACCGCCTAATGCAAGAAGTTTTGCGATTCACATAGCAGATGTGAAGGCGGGCCATGTAAAAATCTCGTAGGACACTTAATAAATTTGGCTGTAAGGTTCAGAAAGGGAAAAGATTGTGTCCTATAATAAAACAAATTGTTTGAAAAAGCTTCGTCACACCGTATAAATACCATCCCTGAACCAAAAAAAAAGGAAAAAAGAAATTGACATTATGAGGACTGAGAGAGAGAGGGAGATAAGTAAAGAGAGAGAGAAAGGGAAAAATCTCCATGAAATCAAAGGAACAAGTGAGGGATCTTAATATAGTACAGTAGGTGGAAAATTCAGGAAGGATAGCGAACGTATAGAAAGCGAACTCGCTAAAAACTTATTTCATATTAGAGATGTTATTCTTCATCTAAGGAGAACGAAACGACCGTAACCCGGTCAAATAGCCGCATCGACAGATCGAACACATTGAACGAAAACAGTACCACAGCAACTTTTGAAACTCGAGAATTTTCGAAAAGGTCGCATATCGAATGGTAGAGAAGAATTTTGATGCATCTCAAGAAAAATGCAATTATGAAAAACTCTGACCAAAAGAAAATAGCTAGTCCCTTTTATCAAATGATAAAATGATCACAATTATAAACACCTGATGGACTGTTACAGATTCAAACGTCACTAAAAAGAAGCTCCTTTTCCTTTTTCGGTATGAATACCGTGATAAAAAAAGATGAATTCTTACTTAATTGCATACGTGGATGGCCCGCCCTCACCGGTTGTGCAGGTTCCAGAAAAAATTCTATTTTTCAGAAAACTGCTGGTTTAACCATTGAGGTTCACTGGAGTACTGCGGTCAGCCTAGTCCAAGTCTATCCTGGGTCGTCACCAGCACAGGCAGTCGCTGCCCTTGTGGATCAGAGGGAAATTTTCCACCATGCGGCTAGTTTGATATTAGGACGGTGGTGAATCCTAGTATTGGTTTACTTTTAGCTAGATTTTAATCTTTATTGATAGAAACGCTGGACTCCTCAGCTTAAGAGACACTGCTGTGGGATGAATGCTCCACTGTACATCGCAGCTCGACATCCAGGAGCACCTCCTAACCACGATGAGCTCCAGCAACGGTACACCGTTGGGAGGAAAGAAGAATTCTACTACGAGTAATTGAAATAGGTATCGCAAAAAAGACGCATATACACAGAAATTTTGCCAAACGTATATGTAATGTTAAAAAAACAAAACGAAAAATAGACACTCGAAATTGGAAGGATACAAAAGGTTTTTTAGAGTAGTGAGATCTGAAATAAGGTCTGGTCGTTACAACAGCGGCTCATCAGTTTCCGACGAATGATCCGACTATTTAAAGAATTAATTCTATCCCACTACAATCCGATAATATTTTGTGCTCTCTAAATAGTCAGGATGTTTAAGAATCCAGGAATCTGAAGCGCGAAAAAGAGGAAAATGACTAAGGAGCTGCTGCTTTTGAGTCGAATAGAGTCGTTTTCAACCAGCAAAAAAGGTTTGAGAGATTTCACTGTTATGCAAAATGTCATTTAAGTGCAGAGGAGACAGAAGTACTTCAAAAACGAGCGCCCTTCTAGGAATTTCTTCCATTAGACGACGACGGTTACCCCACATATTCATTAACCTACTACCTACTAGTTTCAACGGAAATCGATCGATAGTTCTGAGTCAACCGATTCGGCGTAACCTTCCTCTGCTTAGAATGTTTTCTACAGAGAAATAATGAATTGTAGGTAGACCTTGAGAAGTGGCGCAGTAACTAACAATAGGTTTAATTTGGAGCTGACAAGAAATGTGGAAGAAGTCGGACTGCGCTTACAAATCGATGGCAGGGTGAGCTGTGGTCATAAAGCAGCTGGCCAGCCGGAGGAATGAAGAGAGTGCAGGGCAGAGAAATTCCTTGGACGGCCGTAACCAACCAGCCGCACAAGCCGCAACCACTCGACACTTCTTGAAGCTTTTTGGATAAATGCCAAAAACCCTACAATGAATAGCAGCGATGAATGCCCAGAGGTCATACGCGACCCGACCCCGTATGTTCGCATCAATTTCTGATGTGGGGTGGTGCAGTCATCAACCATATGCGACTATAATCAGCTGTTCTAATCTTCCTCATTGGAAGTCACGTAAAAAGCGATGAGTTTTTCGAGAAGTTGTTGATCATGTAATTGCCATAGAGTTTTTCGTCTTTTTGTAAGTGTTATTGAAGCGTTTGGCATAGTAAATTGTATATCTGTATGTCCTTCGAGGCTCTGAAGATGGCGATACTGCCGAAACGTCAGCTACGGTTGTGTTGCATGTATGTTATTGTACGGAAGTAAACGCATGCTGTTTAGCAACCTCTCTATTGCTGAACAAGAAAATGATGTATTCATAGTCCAATACCAAGGTTAACAGAAAGTCGATCCTGGGCGCTCGAGGAGGTTCAAGGAAATCCAAGCTCACCTGAATTCTTCGGTCATAATCTCCTTCCAGTCAAATTCGGCGGCATAATCCCTACAAACCCAACTAGTAGAAATCTATTAGATTTTCGAACTAATTGAAAGCTTATGAGGGTAAAAACTGATTTTCTAAGAGTACAGGTCAAAGAATGTTAAAGAGAGGTAGGTACTAACCACACTTCCAGCAACGGCATATCACCTAAAGAGAACTGGACGATCCCCGTAGGATACTGAATACTCTGGAACTGGCTCAGTGCAGAAATATGAACAACACTACTAGAAAAATCGACTAATAACTTGGCGAAATTTATCTAATTGGTAAAGTGACACTATGATGTAGGTGTTTGGAACGATTTCAGGAAATAAATGAGAAATCACCAGCTTACTTGCTAGCATCGATATACTGCAGCACTTACGAAACATAGAAAGGCTT